TATAGAATTTTTATCGATATATTTTGTCGCACTGTCTTATCCCAATTATTAGTTCCGTGGACGTGCACTTCTGCTGTCAGCGCCAAAATGGCGCAAATCGAATTGCCTCATTATGTCACGGCTTTTAGCCAGTCCAGCGTACTTGTATATATAGAGGTCAGTGTGTCTGTACTACTAAGAAATTCAGAACTTCCTAGGCGTGATTTTTACTGACAGCTGTCGCAAAGATCAAGCTATCTTTTATGAACCATAGACAAGTATATAATCAAAGGTAGTAGTATTGTGACCATGGAGTATAGAGTTAAGGACAACCATATGACAGGAGAATAGTTGAAAATGTGTCCATCTGTAATACCCTTATTACACTACCCTGAATCAGGGTCCCTACGCCCTGATTCAGGGTAGTGTAATAAGAGAAAGGGAGTAAGGGTCCCTAATTAGTGCGTCAAAGTTGACCCGATCTGCAGTGCCCTTGCCACTGTGCAGTGTTATAACACTAAGGGCCCATTTCACCAAACTCAGATAAGTTTTATTCCAAGAGTAATGATATAAGTTATTCAAGGATATCAAATTTTACATTTCACCAACAATTTAACCCAAGAATAAATAGTTAACCAAGAGATAAGATTTATACTCCCGATTTTGAAGGATTACGGAGTTATTCTTCGGTTAAAAATGGCCGACAGGCTGTCAGCTGTTAATTATTTGACATTTTTAATTGTCGCGTACGTCCAAGTTTCTTGTTCCTGAATTGCTGTTTGATTAATACATTTTTAGTATAATTATTATTGAGAGTATATAGCTACACATAATGCAACGTTTGAGAAGAATGATTAACAACAGTGACAGTGATGATAGTGAAGATGAAACATATTATGTTGTAAAACGTCCAAGGTGGATAAAAGAAAGGAATAATTTTATGACTATGATGACGAAGACTTTAGGTTAAGATTTCGGTTATCTAAATCAGTAGCTTATAATCTTTTGATCAAAATTGAAGATCATTTGGAATTTATATCTGAAAGGTGAGTCTTAGTAACTATTTATATTGTTCGTAGGTACATAATACGGCAATTAATTGCTCTAAAATAAAACTGTTTTGGTTTACAGGAATCAATCAATTTCTCCGATTAATCAGCTTTTGGCAACACTAAGGTTTTATGCTACGAATAATTCACAATTAACGATCGGTGATTTTAGTGGGCTCAGCACACCTACAGCACACAGAATAATACATAGAGTTAGTGCTGCGATAGCGTCATTGAACCACGAGTACATAAAATTTCCGAACTCAACAGGGAATTCGGCGAAATCAAAGGGAGTCTTTATACAATCATTCACTTGCTCATTCAAATATTCTTCCACAGATAAGTAAAACCGTTATTCGAAAGAATAGTTAATCTGAGGCTAACTAATCTGTTGTTTTGCATGGTGAAATGTACAGTAAGTTATCCGAGAGTAAAAGTACGGAATATCTTTATTCTCGGGTTAGTTAATCTTAGACAACGACGTCGTTGGTGAAATCGGCACTAAGAGAGTTAGGGCACTTATTCCACGTGTGACTAGGGATGGAAACGATACATCATTTATTTCAAACATCAATATATCGTTCATAAACATGGTTATTCATGAGCGATGTTAAAACATGAAAAATGTTTTGGCTTAAGGTTACTTAATAACCAACTTTTCGAAGGTATAAAATTCGGTACGTTAGAAGTTGCGAACGATGATTATCATGAATTTTATGTTGCCGAAAAATAAATATTCGAAACAAAATATGTCAAAGTTACATAACGTAATTTTTTATAAAGTAGCAGAAATAACTTAATCACGAAAATTTTAATTATGATCAACAAACATAATTAATATACTTGAACTTCAGAAGTGCAATTGTCTTCAATCAGTAATTCCATTTTCGATGTAAAATTGTAGTTATTTTTATTGTGATAATTAATTAAGATAAGTTTACAAATATTGAAAATGGTTTGAAATTATTTGATGCATTTTCTTGTTATTAATTATAATATTATTTGAGTTTTAACTTATTGAATAGCTTAAGTACAGTCTTATAAAGTAATAGTTATTTTGGAATGGAAATTATTTTATCGGCTTACGGTACTTCGTATTTAGTTACAATCATTTATCTGAAATATTGATTTTTACGGATGAACGGTATTCACCTGTTTGTATTTCAGTATAGTTTCGTAGATGTATTCAGAAAATACGATAATACTAAAGGTGACATAATATGGAAATACCACAAAAAATTAACGCACCACAACATAAGAAATAAAACTAAAGCAGAAGACGCATTTCATATATTGCATGTGGGATGGCATGAATGAGTTATTTCCCGGGCTTCATAGCCTAGATAAGATCTATTTGTCTATCGTGGCAACTTCGGTATCCCGTGAGCTATTATTTTCAGAGGCTGGATCTACAATCACCCAGGAGAGACACCACTTACTAGGCGCCAGGTTGTCAAAATTGTTATTTTAAAATTCAATTCGAAATAAATAAACGTAAAAGTAAAAAATATTTCATTAATTCATGTTTTCGTATAATTATTCGAGAAAATTAAATGTGTAAAAATAAATAGTGTAAAACTTTTTAAATTAACATAAATATAATGTTTGATTATTATACTTCTTTGTTTCATTCTGTTCAAAATTATTATTAATTCCATATATATGTATGTATATATTTAAATGGTGATAAAAACATCGAAAAAATTGATATATCGTACATAAACTTCGATGTTTTAATGAGAGATGTTGCATCCTATAGATGTGCTTACTCGGAAAAATTACGACTCGAGTTTACAAGAGTTTAAATTCACACAAAACGAAGTAAACTCGAGTTACGCAACTAGAGTTAGCAGGACGAAACACAGTAAATGATTTGTTACAATTACTTTAAAAATATCGATTCAATAAATATATATACTTTTTCACTTGTCCATCCCTATGACTGAGTAAGACAGTGTTGCTGTTTTAGCACATTTGGCGCTAGATCTATTGCAATTCTAGGATCTACAGCACTTTTTAGATATCTAAACGCTAAAAAACATCTGGAATCAGGCGGAAAATTTGATATTAGTTAGCAGCACAGTCTAATAAAAATACTAGTCTATCTAGTCTATCGTTCGGGTATTCTCCGACTAAAATGTTGCTGATGCGTAATTGTTTTATCTTCCTTTTGCATTATGCTATCATGTAGCTATATTGCTTTTCATTATATTAATCTTTTAAGCTTTAATATCTGAGAAGAATTGGTTTTTCCCACTTTCGAGTTTCGTGTTAGTCTTTTAGCTCAGTTTTAACTGTTTCGTGAAAATTTCAAATGGAAGTGCCACCAAGGAAGTATGCTTATAGCAAGAAATATAAATCTGAGTGGGAGCTAATGGTATGGAATTCAATAGGTCAAATAAGAAGGTGATAGTGATGATATAGTGAAATTTTGGGCTCAAGTCTCCCATTACAAAAATGCGGCTAGGTTGCATGTCTTTCGGGAATTAGTGGACTTAGCCATCAGCGTGCTGTTGCTTCAACATTTAAACACCGAACTATAGCGGATTTTCGACGTTATAAACATTGTCAAAAGCTTCCTACGTAAGCGTATGTCAGCTGAAACAATGAACTTAAATATAATGATACTAAATTAAATAAAAAAAATCTTAAGCAAATCTGTCACACATAAAGACTTAACTACCTGAAAATATCCTCGACAAATTACTAAAAATGTAAAAAAAAGAACAGAAGCAGGTGTAGGCTGGAGCTATCTGGAGGTGATGATTACCATGAAGATGTAACGGAATTGTCTAATTTAGTTGATTTTAGTATCTAATATTACTTAAATAAATGTAATTGTCTTCAAATAATCGCATTTTTTCTTATTTCCTTTTACATTTACAGGATACAACTTAATGGAATTTGGTGGATTTTAGATACCAAATTTTTGTAAAATATAGCGCAATTTTGATAAGGGTTTAGTGCATCCTTTTTTTCTTCATACAGTAACACTAGAGTAAGGGTGTAAAATCAAGGTAGTGTAATAACTGATGTACCTAATTAGAGGCCACGCCCATCCTTCATTCAGGACCCTGATGAAGTGAGTGTAATAGGGGCATATAATACAATAAGCAGTAAAAAAACGGTTAAAAAACTCTCCACAACAGCGCCAAAGTAGCTAGAGGGTATGAAATAAACTTAGCAGTTGTCGACGGAGTGAAGTGTGCGGAGTTGAGGAATTTAATATTTGAGGTGACTACAGTAGTTAATGAAACTGCAGTATTATAAACCTCAACTACTCACGTTGTCTAAAATCATTTAGTAAATATAACCAAGAAAAAGTTGCCGTGAAATACGTTGAGAGTGATATTGAAAATAAAAATTTAGAAAACAATAAAATAATTGTTATAAAAAAGGTTTATGGTGAAAGTCTGTGCAATAAAAAGTTCTTTAAAATTTACTCTCCACAGTGAGTCAACCTTATTTAGCGCTTTCCTAAGGACACTTTTTAATACAGAGACGGTACTCCTTATCTTTACACTCCATGATCGTAACGTAGCTTCTAAAGCTACATCACAATCATCAATCATCTGCGTGCGTGCGTGCGTGTATGCGTGCGTGCGTGCGTGCATGCGTGCGTGCGTGCGTGCGTGCGTGCGTGCGTGCGTGCGTGCGTGCGTGCGTGCGTGCGTGCGTGCGTGAGTGTGTGCGTGCGTGCGTGCGTGTGTGTGTGTGTGTGTCGTTTTGTAGTTTCATAAATACACTGATATACTGAGATAATATTAAGATCAAATTTTTACCTTTATAAAACAGTTTAGGAGATAGTCTATGACTTACCTTTGTGCATGAATAAAAGCGCTAAACAATAGTAATAAATATTTTTATTAGTAAGATATTTATTGTACATCACTTATGAGTTTTTAACGTTCTGCCCGTGTATTAATGAAGCAACATTATTTAAAAATTGCTGATGGTCATAACATTGTTATATTATTGAGTACACATAACGAAATTTTTCTTTTCATCAAGTATGAAAAATCTCTCTTCTTGTGATTTGTCACATCCTGGGCCTAAATATCGGCGTCTGAGTTCCAAATCCGGAGGTGCTGATATATCCCCTTGAAGTATGTTGTATGCTTGATCAATAGTACTTTCGATTTCTGACTTCAGTTCCTAAAATAATATAACAGATATATTTGAAACACACGTCTAATGAAGACTTAGACGACAGTAAAATTGAAGTTTGCAGTAAGATTATATCTATAGTTATGTAGACTTATAGATTTGTGTATACAATATTTAAGAAAACTTCCTGTCCGATTCGAAAGGGGTACCAAAAAAATAAAAATATCAATTTATCAATGAATATAAAAATGCTATTGTTGTTTGGAATACATGTTTGAACAGTAATTTGCTTACAATTAAGAACATTTTTAAAATCTGGCAACAGCCTCGACGGTTGTATACAGAAACATAGTCAAAACTATGTCGGTTTCTTTACTCACATGCCTTTGTTGTGTATTTTTAAACGTGTGGTAGTTTCCTATAAAGGACAGTTACTATACTATTGGTGGCAGTATTGTTACCTACCCGACATGCACGTTTGTCTATTTAATTTAATTTTATTATTTACTTTTTGGAAAATATTACGTTAACAGATCATATCACGAAAAACGAAAAGCACCCTCAGAATTCTTACAAGTTCTTCTCAACCGACTTCAAAAATGGAGGAGGGTCTCAATTCGACTGTATTTTTTATTTGTGTTACTTCTAAACTTTTTTATAGGTGAACCGATTTTGATGATTCTTTTTTTATTTGAGAGCTGTTGCTTCTCATGTGGTCCCATATAAATTTGATCAAAATCTGACTAGTTTTAAGTTATCCTTCATAATGCGTATTTAATTGACTTCGACTATATGGATGATGTTCTCATTTTATTTAATACCAGCGTTAAATAGCAGCTTAACGCTGCTGTGTTTCGTTTGGTGAGTGTAGAGAACCAGAGACCCTTTTTACTAGAAAAGAGCCCTCACAAGAGTCCTCACGGGTAAGAACGCATCTGCATTTTGACTCGTTATCGAGGATAGATGTGGATGTCTATGGGCCACAGCAACCACTTATCATCAGGTGGACTGTGTGCTCGTTTGCCACCTTTATAGTATAAAAAATGTATATATTGTAGTCGGTTGTACATTTTTTTTATTTTACTACCTGTTTACATATCGGTATCAAAATTATCTATTGATTTCATGCTGAGCGCTGACTTGATTTTTTTGCGCTGACGGATTGTTTAAGAAAAGAAAGGTAGTTTGCGAGTGCTGCTAACCATCTCATCCAATCAGAATAATGCGAGTATAAGTGTAAAAGTTAGGCCAAGTTCACCAGGAACTATCGGTGTTGGCGGTAAATTAACATCAGAGAATCTGAACAAATTCACTAAACCTGCCTCACGCCAGTCACATATAGTCGGAATTCTGTTTCGAAAAAACCGATGAGGCATTTTAGAGACATTTAATTACATAAGAACAAACATTCAACCCTAAAACAATAATTATCTGTAGGCCATACAGACGCTCTTCAGGCCGGCCACATACAGTCGGAATTCCGTTTCGAAAAACCTTTTAGGAATATTAATTCGGGATTTCGAAGGAAGCAAAAATGTTTATCTGTATGTCTGTCTGTGCGGACTAATAGACTTTAGGAATAGATAAGGAGTAATGCCAGGAGATTTAGGCTATAATCTCTCCGAAAAACTCGAAGATTTTTTGGAAAAATCTTAAAATTGATAAAATAAATGGACTTTGTCTACCTTAGAACTAAATAACACCATATCAATATCCAAGCGCAGGGCCGGGTGACTAGTAAATAATAAAAGCATCCTTAAATATTCTAGTACCGCGTCTCTAAAAACAGAGTCTCAGCGCCTGTGTTTACAAATTGTCCCTAATCATTCTTTTGTAACAATAGTGCCCAGCGTCATTTGCCAGCGAAATTTCTATGACAGATGGGAGTACTTACGTCATATAGGTCTGGCGAACGGCGCGCGCGTTCTGCCAGTGCGGCGTGCAGGTGATAGAGTAGCAGGCCGCGGAGGTGTGCGTCGCCCGCGCCCAACGCCGCCGTCGTGCGCAAAGTTCCGCGGCACAGTTTCTCCTTCAACGCCAGACGAGACTCCGACAGCTCTATTAAATTTAATAAATTATGTAACAGTTGGTTTAGTTTTCTTAAAAAAGTATTAAATTTTATGTTCACTTCCGATATGTCTCGTAGTAGTTTTCGGTGACCTTGAATCTTCAAGATCAATTCGTAACAGTCTATTGTTATACAAGGGCCTCTGTTCTATTATAGGCAGAATTTGTCGTAACCGCCATATTTAGTATGTGCATTTCCGTTTCATGTATTTTTGCCATACCGCATAGCTACCTCATATGACCTCAAGGAGGAATGCGGGGATCTTCTCTCATACACCGACACCACACAGATGAGGAGAGGCGTCGAGGGTGCGAGACTGCAACGGAAAAGGTCCATGTTCAATAGTAGACTTTAAAGGCTGGTGATGAAGGAGAAGAGAGCCTTGTAAATATCTTGTACCAATTGTATTAGGGGCAGTGGTAGAGCCAAGCTGCAGTTATATTAGTAGTATCAGGTGCATGAGGGTAATATGGTGGCCTTAGAGGGGACCTTAAGTTTTGGCCGCCCTATAAAAACAAAACAGGAGGACAGAGACGAACATACGAAGCCGTATACTATAACTAACATATTTAAAAAAAACAAAGGTAATTTTATACTTTTGCGGTCCCCTCGTTTTTTTAAACGAGGGGACCGCAACTTACTTCGATTATATGACGGATTTATGAAAAAAAAATATGGAAAATATCTCACCTGAAGATAGATCATATAGTTTTTATCACTTTAAATATAAATAAACCAACTTCTTCGAATATATTCTTCGAATAGTTCATAACTTTTTTAAAAAGCATTAAATGGAGTTTATAATTTTTTTTGTTAATCTACACAACAAAACAAACATTTAAAAAAACATTGAAAAATGTTTGTTTATAATTTTTTTTATCTCACTTAAAGTTTTTATACGATTTTCTGACTTTAAATGTTATCATAAACGCTCTAGATAATGAAAATAATTATAAAAGTTGATATTTTGGTGTTTTATTGAGTGTAAGATCGAACGAAGCGAGCTCGGGACTTCGGGCATCGTTGAGTGGCGTCGTGCTTTCCTCCCTAAACTCTCTCCTGCGCAGTCGAGGAAAGCCCGGTTGATGGAGCCCCGCTGGGGGGGGGGCTCCTACTTCTGAGTGGTTTATAAAAAAATAACCACGAAGGAGATGGCGGGGTCTATTCGCTCGTTTCGCTCTCTCACTCAACCCCGCCATCTCCTTCTAACCTAACCTGTCCGAGTCGGGATGCCCTAAGTCCCGAGCTCGTTTCGCTCGATTTTACACTCAATAAAACACTAAAATAAGAATGAGTAAGTAAACACTTTTAATTTTTTTAAATGTTCGTTTTTTTGTGTAGATCATGAAAAAAAATTAAACAACTTCATTCGATTATTTGTGAAACCAACCTGAAACCAATATATGTTTAATTTTTTTATTCCTGTAATTTTTTTCGTAAACCCGCTATAAAAACGAAGGATGATTTTTCGATTTTCGAGAGCCAAAAACGAAGTGACCGTGATAGTATAAAATTACCAAAACAAACAAGCTTAGGCAATATGAGGATTTGGACACTGAAAAATTAACTTAAAAAAAACTAACTACACCATACTTAACCTGACTAAAACATTTACTATAATGTCGACTGTTAAAATGGCGTCGATAATTGCATTGCCCTTTTGAACTCTTTATTATTTGATTGAGTGATGAAAAGTTATCGTATCACAGATTCATCTATGCAATAAAGGCTGTAGTTTTTGAGTTATATGAAAATTACCATATTAACCCGATGACCATATAACCTCACGTACCGTGTGCATGAATAGGTCGGCTCGACCGGGGAAGGACCACTCTCTCACAGAATACCAGCATGAAATAGTAGTTTAATGCTGCTGTGTTTCGTATGGTGAGTGTAGAGAACCGGATACCCTTTTTACTAGGAACGAGGCATTGCATCATCTTAGTCCTCTCGGGCGACAACGCATCTTCATTATGATTCGTAATCGAGGATAGATGCAGATGTCTATGGGCCACAGCAACCACTTACTATCAAGTCGAGTGTGTGCTCGTCAGTCACCCTATCCTATAAAAATATATTTAATAAAGTTTAAATTTAAAGATCACTGCGATCAAATTGTTTTGCAAGTACTGAACCCATTTTACAAAATAGGGTATTAAAACAGTAATACTTTTTATAACATATGTACATACATTAAATTATAAGTTTTACAATATTATGAATAATATAATATAAAATACAATTATTAGTTTGAACGGACAGAGGGTAGTTAATTGAAAATGATAAAACAGTGCTATCACAAAAATACCATAATATGTAAACATAATATGAAATTCTTACAACAGAAACTTGTTTTAAGAAATATTTAATTTCTTGTCTAATAAAGATATAGTAAATATAGACGGTAATATTTAAAAGATTTCGGATTTATTTTACATAAATACAAAATTTCATATATTATATGCTTTTACTATCAAAATTTGACATACGTATGTGTCAGAGTATGTATGACCTCAGAACTAAGAAATGAGCAGAAAAAATCTATAACAAAATAGATGTATATCCTTTAGCAGATTAATAACATCAAAATCACCACATAATATGTATATCGTTGTGTTACTAACGGAACTGGAACGCAAATCCATCTGGTGACGACGTGTGGACGGGCGTTCCTCGCTGCTGCGCCCATGTCAACAGCGATCAATCGAACAACTGCCCCTCGTAGAATATTAGACCTCGATTTTATTCACTGCTTGCGTTTTGCCTACCCGTCGCATGTCCGTGCACATTGTATATTCACTTAAGCAACGATGCGACATAAATTGCCTTTAATACTAATACAAGGCCTTGTGAGCGCGTTACGAATTTCCGTTCTTCTTTATATGTTCACATTATGTTTATGAAAATGCGCAGTTTCGCGACGACGCAGTGGCCGGACTATTTTAGTTTGAAGTGTTGAAATATGATTGTGTTTATTATTAACAACCATGTGAAACAAAAATCAGTTAGGAATGGGCCTTTTTATTCATATTGTCATCATCATCATCATCATCATCATCATTATAGCTCACCACAAATTCACTGCTGGACGTAAGCCTCCCCAAGGAATGCCACAAATCACGGTCTTGATCTCTTAAGACTCCACTTGCATCTATGTTTATAGGTACGTCTGGCGGCAATTGTTATTTTCTTGAAAAATTTGTAAAAAATGTTTTGTTACAAATTTTGATTTCTTAAATTTACGCGAATACAACACATTGAATAAAACTATATTCACGGATTCTTTCACGTCTAATTTACTTATTTTCATCTTATTTTTTAATTCCCGACGTTTCTGGTGCTTTCCATCACCCATGGTCAAGGGGGGACGGGAGGGAGGGGGTGGATGAGATGTAGATAGGACCGGAAATTAATATTAAGAAATTGAAGGTAACCGGGCTATGACATTGGAACGTCAAACATCTCAGTCCACCCCGTGACGATGGATGCTGTAAAGTACCGGAAACGTCGGGAACTAAAAAATAAGATATAATAAGTAAATAAAACGCGATAGAATCCATAAATATAGTTTTATTCAATTGTTACAAATTTATTAATCGCCCAGACAAAGAGTCGCTGTCTTCATAATATTTGTTTCTTCATACGTACTTTAACAGAATATATTTAACGTAATTATTTCGCGCGCTAGAAAGGACATGTTTAGATTTTCGTAATTTGTTATGGTCTATAACGCAGGTCGGTCGAATTATTTGGACAATGTGTAGATACATACCTCTGTATGTTTTATTTTCTTTCAAAAATAAAATTTTGTTTGGTAATTTATTCATAAATGGGTTTTTATTATTTAAAGTATCTTACACAAATTCTTATAAATAATAACAAAATAAGCTAATTTTATTAGGATCTTATTTTTAGATAAAAAGCAGACATCTGTTACAGTTTATAACTACAGAATATTAAAAATTCATTGGTTACGGCAATGGAGACGCTTGTTCATAAATCTGTTATTTTTGAAAGAAATTTAAAATGATAAATAAAACTAAGAGAATTTATTTCAAACTTGCCATTTAAGACTATTTTAATAATGTTGGAAGATATGCAAATTCTATATATTTTTGTAAAACTTACGACAACAAACGATTACGAACCTTGGCATAATAAAAACCACAACATGCCCTAGAAACACTAGACGGCTAAAGACGTGTTTGTTATTTTTGAATGTTGTTCCAAACAAATCATTTAAAATATATTTTCATAACTATGAAAATAATACAAATATTATATTATATTGACTTAATCGCTAGTTGTTGGTATCACTACATTCGAAGTTGTTGATGAGTATGGATGCCTATACCTTATCACCTAAGATAAATTGTCCAACTAGGTCCAAGTCCAAATTCGATAGAGAGGTATCGACTCCAATACAGCTGGCTAGCGTTTGGGTGTCACTCCAAACAAGAGTGTATAAAAAGTGATGATATATCTGAGAAGCAGTCCCTCACTATTGTACATACAAGCCAGGAAGCTCAAAGCCGCTCAACTAACAACAGAGACGACTGTGTTCAGTGTTTCTCTGCATGATAGACTTTATAATGAGGATTTTTTTACTAGAACCAAAGTAACCGACATGCCCTACGGATCGGTAAAGCGGGGAATTCACTACGCGGACTTGCCCACGGGCATGTCTGCAGAATGCCTGCCAGACTTCGCAACTGTAGGCCTGTGCAAAGTTTGATAGTGTCGGTCTGGCAGATTTACCTTTAGAACGTCCGCGAGATCACTTTATGTCTGCGCGGGCATAGACATGCCCGAACTTGAATGTTAACTGCGGGCTGTCTGTTCACAGACACTAGAGCGTTAGCAACCAGTGTAGACGGCCTTTTATTATTATTTAACGAACTTAGGAGATTTTTAACCTGCTTTAATGAGTTTTAATGGGTTGGGCGGAAAAGGGGGGGAAAGCGGGGGTAGGAAAAAGCGGAGGGAGGGGAGCTGTCCTTTTTTTTCCTCTGGCCACGTTTTTTTGGGAACCAACCTAAAATAAATATTTTTTTTAATTTTAAATTCTTTTTTTATTTTTTTTTTTTTTTTTTATTATTTAAAAAAAAAAAAACTCTATCCTAAAAAAAAAAAAAAAAAAAAGGGGGGGTTTGTTTGCGGTTTGAGGAGGAAGTCGTTCCGCGAAAACATTTCTCGCTAGCGCTTGTAGCGTTTTTTCTGCCAAACACACTCAATGATAATAAAATATTCTGGGAAGAGTTTATACGACTTTATATCCATGTGCAAGTAATAGGGTATTACACCCATTTTCAAAAAGTGTTTTAGATGAATCCTAGAGTGATGATGAAACACTGTAATTTTTATATAATTTTTTTTTAAAACTGAATAGTGCCATAAAATTACTTTTAACCTATCATTTTAAATTTTCGCGTGAAAACGCCAGCCGCCATGCTGTTCTACTCGTGATGTCACAGCCTTCGAATTTTTTTTTTACGATTTTGCAAAGGAATAAGACACTTTTTAATGTTTAATAATGAGTTATCATCTATATCATTGTTGTGTCGTGCCGGAATGCAAAAATACGAGCATAAGAACGGCGGGAAAGTTATGGATTCAAGTGCCAACTGATTTAAATATAAGAAATAGTTGGGTAAAACTGGCAAGAAGATATCCGAATACAGTGCCTACAAAAACTAGACTATTATTCTGTGAAATCATTTTGATGTAAGTGACTTATATTTAACCATCGTATATACAAAACAAAACGTCATGATGTGAAGGGTATCGCAAGTCTTATGTAATAAATTACTTTTACTTAGATATTATGACTAATGATTGCTAATCATTGTAATTATAGATAAAATAAACTATGATAGCTGCTAAACTATGTTTTATCAAAATACACTCTGACCTGGTATTGTGTTTTTGTATAAACAAAAGTTGGTAATAGGTACTTACACTGATGTTTTAACATTCTTCAACTCAGCAGAACAAAAATTGAGATTGCATGCAAAAATTTTGCCACGATCAATATTATATACTGATAACTTGAAAATTTTCGAAATAACACAGCACATTAGCTAGTTCTCTTAATCAGTGACACAGAGCACTAATACCCTTAGGCGGATAGCTTTTCAGTGACGTCACGACAGTATCTAATATGGCGGATAGCGTTTTGTAGATTTTTTTCATGGGATAAGGTGACAAACGAGCACACAGTCCACCTGATGTAAGTGGTTGCTGTGGCCCACAGAGATTTACATCTATCCTCGTTTACGAATCAAAATGCAGATGCGTTGTCACCCATGAGGACTAAGATGGAATGCCTCGTTTCCAGTAAAAGGGTCTTCGGATCTCTACACTCGCCATACGAAACATAGCAGCATTAAGCTACCATTTTACGCTGGTATTCTGTGACAGCGTGGTCCTTTCTCGATCGAGCCGACCTATTGGTGCTACAACTATACTACTAATATAACTGCAGCACGGTTCTACCACTTATAAAAAAGAGTTGAGGCACACCCAAAAAATATTCTTAAAATTTAAATTTAAAATTTACAATGCAATTTTATAAATATAAATCAAAATTTCTCGTTTACTTTTTACAAAATCTATCATATATATATATTTTTTGAATGTTTTTACACGGTATAAAATACTCTATTGTACAGGTCACCTGGTTCATCAATTTCTAATTCTTAATATAAAATGATATGGCTAAACTTATTTCTATTTTTATACCATTGTAAGCATCAAATTTAATAAATAATAAGCATAGCAATTTTAAGTAGTCATCCTAATGTGCACGCACAACTAATCAGGTGGCCGGTCTAAAACAAACTCATGAGTCTGTGTAGTGTATTGCGGCGATTGAAATGCCCCGACAAACAGCCCGTGGGAATGTTTGTCTAGTGAATTCCCGCTTAAGCTGAAGTGGCCATATAACCAGGTCATTGCCACTTCTGCTTACCGATGGTCGGGTAAGAGATGCATGAAGTCGATAATCGTGGCTTAAGACCGTGCTTTGTGGCATTCCTTAGAGGAGTCCTATGTTTAGCAATAGACTTGTGATGGACTGTAATGATGATGGTGATGAATCACCGTGTGGCGGTGGTATAAGAAATTCCGTTAGATTACAAGTTTCATAATTTAGAATCAAGTTAAGATATACGATAAAAGTTAAAATAGTACAGTAATGCAATTTTCTTACATTTTAACAATGCAATAATTTCAAAATTTTCTTACCTGAAGCCGATGTGAAGAAGGTTTTTTGAATAATTTTTAGTACATATTTATTTTAATTTATATTTCACTGGCTTTTAGGTTAGTCATGTTAGCCGAAAGCTGATACAACATAAAGTACTTGATGTTTCTAGAATACCCTTTAACTTCGTACCCCAATCGTATCCAAGTTTAAGAGCTCTTTTAAAATCCAAATCAAGAAATATGTAACTGTAACAAGGCAAGAACGATTCCAGTCGCTTTAATATTACATTTTGTTGTTCAATTTCTTCTTCTTCAGATAGTATTCTAACAAGACTTCCGATAATTGATTGTAAAAAATTAATTTGCTTTACAGGTACTTTTGCATGACAAGTATCACAGCACCACTCTGTTGTTGCAATTAAAGGCTTATGAGGCAGAAGTGCGCCCGCACATTCCCTGACAAAACATTTTAAAGCTGACAACTTTGTTCCCATTTCCGTAGCATCATTACATCTACTACATTTACACCAAAAATTCTTTGATATGTGTAATTGGTATCGTCTGACTGGAGTGCACCATATAAGGCTGGTATAACAGCTTAATATTTCCTCTCCAATTTCAATATCTCTCGATGCGTATATTTCCATCGTTTTATCATTCTTAAATATATTTCTTGTATTCGGCACACAACTATGATTCAAGAAAGCCGCTAAGGGATACAAACCACACAATCGTATTGTTTTTTCTCGATTGCTAGAAGGAATTCTAAAGGAATTTATTTTCAGAATCAAGTGCATGGTTTTCATAAGTTCGATGTGTTCCTTCGGTATATGGAAACTCGAAAAAATAGCTTCTAATTCTTGAAATGTGGAAGTAGAGTCGTGTTGTAAATGTAGTAATATTTCTTTCTTTTCGGAAGATAAAAGAAATAATTGTATATAAATTCGAATTCGGCCAAGGATACTTAAGATTCTTCTAGAATTAGACTTTGGTTTCCAATACGTAGAAATGAATTTACATTCTTCTAGATGCATTTGCGATACTTTGCAATTTTTAGAGCACATTAACAATCCGCATTTTTCGCAAGATTTAATTTCATCACTAGTTTCATAACAATAAGAGCAAAAAGAAATTTCAGGGCCACTATTTCTTGGTCCAACTGCGAGAGGTTTATTTGTCAATATAAGTTCTCCTTTATGAATCCTCTTGCGAGCGAACAGTCCTCTTCCTCCTAGATCAGATTTTTGAATTATCCACAAAGGATTTTTTGAAGATTCGAGGCATCCTTGAACCAGTAGTGTCTGTAGATTAGAAATGTTGTATACTTCTTTCGATCCAAGTTGTTTAGGGCGCGACATAATCATGTTATGAACGATTCGGAATTAAATGTCAGTGCTCATAGACTTAACATCGATGTGCATGACCCGGTATGAAAATAGCGACTGGAATACATACTTATTTTAATCTGATTCATGGAGTCGTTTTACGTGTCGATTCTGACGTAACGTGAGTACAACAGATTCGTCGGTTCGTGTTTAGTTTAACTACGCCTTGTTTTATACTATATCTAGCTTTTGAGACGAAAATTGTTCAAATTGATTTTCTTGTTATAAGTACCATATTTAATTTCATATGCATTTAATAAAAAGCTGATAATTTAACATTTATTTTTTGTATGTAGGAAAAATCTTGGAATGTCACTATGCTCCTGAGCCACCTGCATCCATCGACTTCCTGCATGTTTTGTTACCCCGTCACTCCATGTAGTGGGGGACCACCCTACACTTAACCTACTGGTACGCGGCTGCCACTCGAGAACCTTTCTTCCCCATCGGTTGTCGGTTCTTCGCACTCCTTGGTGGAGGCCTATGTTCAGCTGTGACCTTGTGAAGGGCTGTAATTATGATAATGATAATGATGCAAAAATGTAATAATCTTATAGGCTCTAACCTATTTCTGCCGTTAAACAGAAAGCAGACCGGGGATAATTTAAAGGGTAAATATAATGGTAAAGTAATAACCTGAATATTTCCCACAACTGGACTTCACGTGATCGCGAATTACTTAAATTTTATCAAAAATTGATATTTCTTCACGAAGTTTATGTTTCCGCCGAGTCATACATCCACTATATAACATTTATACAGTACTCATATGTGTGTGGTAACGACGCTAGCACTACTCTCTAGCTAGTAATTATTAATAATTCTGTAACTGTAACTCTTAGCAACGTGTAATTGGAAGACTTGTCAGGGAAGTCACAAGGCTCCAACTGAAAACCAACGCTGCCTTTGCAGCGTTGTGCTGAGTTGGAGACATGTTTGATGTCACATTTTAATTTTAATTTCTTTTTAATATTTTTTGTTGTTTTATTATTAAATAAAGATGTGCATTTACTGCTTTTTAATTTTTAATGCGTGCCCCTTGCGTTTGTATATTTCTTGAAATGTATGTAAAATGTGTGTATCAATTAAATACTTTTTTCTTTCTTTCTTTCTTTCCTGCTAAATGTAAACTGTAGAAGCTATAAATAGATTAGGGTATAATAAAGTGTCACAAGTGTTGAAAGAGGTATCTACTTACAAGTCCGAACTTACCTGCGCATTGCGTGATAGAGCCACTCTGCAGCGTAGTATGAATAACCTCGCTTGCAAAAAATACCAGCTAAAAATAGCAGCATAATGCTACTGTGTTTCATATGGTAAGTGACGAGGATCGGAGACCCTTTCCATTGAAGGTATGTGGTACGGTAATCGTGGTATGGGGTATTCTAATTTAGCCCTTAAGGTTGCCTCTGCATTTGCGCGTTTCGTAGCACAACTAGCAAGATATATTGTAATGATTTATCGCATTTAAGCGTAAAATTACTCGTACGATGTAATGCAAGATGATTATGAATTGTTAATGAAACTATTTAAAGTGTTTTTTTTCTTACAAAAATGGCCAGGCAATGCACGTAATGACGCATTATTACGACTAGCGTCAATAATAAATATGCTGATATTAGGCTTCTTCCATATATGAATGACACAGGAGTCAGGTATGTTCAAGAGCTATGTTGTTCTTCAAACAGATGCTTGATACATAACTGGACTTTTTCTGACGCATCAATTTTAACTACAATACATTTGAAAATTATAAAATAAATAATATGTTCCTATAATTTTATAGTTTTCTTTTTATAATAAAGTTTAGTCCCAAAAAGAAAATCACAGAAATTTTTGATGTCCAATGGTGTATATATATATGGTGTAGGTGTAAAATGTTCTCCCTTCGTTCCTACAAACTTTGCAATGATTATTTTGCGCGGTGACGGTAAAAAACGGTTGTTCGTGGAAGTGGGTTGCTTTTATTTAAGCTTACTTATAGCGCGGGCTAAATTAGCGTACTGTATACAAGTGATAATAGCAGAATCTTTCTTACTGTGACGAAGTGGCGATAAATATAGTTCGGTGTTAAGTATTCGAACTGGAACGTTACAAGGCGTTGGAACGGAGATTCACGCCATCAATTAGTACTATTAATAATCTCTAGTAAGCTTTGCCATTATTTAGACAGACAGCAGTGTGTCAGCCAAGCTCGGAAAAGGAAAGGGTGAAATACCGACAGTGTGTATATATAGGTACACGAACTATTTTGAGCTAGTTTCGACCCTAACTAAAATAATTTTTCACCTACCTACTTGTAATTTAGAATAAATAACGGGGATCCTTTGAATAACTAGAATTTCATATTTCTTAATTAGATATATCATACTTAATTCTTGAGTTACAGTGATATTTTTATTACTCACTTACTCATAAAAAAACTTGAAACTTGAAAAAAAAAATTAAGGGGATTTTCACAAGGAAAAAATCTGAAAACTACAAATTGTCGATATTCGTCGTTGACAGAGTATTTTTATTTACTTGTTATAAGGCAGTGCATGACCTCAATTCCATCTGGTAGGTAAGTTATGATGATGCCCCATACGGTAAATTACACCGTCTTAGCTTAAAAAAAGCCTAGATTGTATTTGGACGGAAAGACATACAGCCAGCAAATTATTCTACTCCTTAGTTGTACGCGTTAGGAAAGAGGAAGCAAACCGTTTTCTAATGTGTGGAATATCGACAACAAGGAGGTGAAAACCCGCCGACAGACTGATTGTCTCTGGGAATTAAAACACGTAATATCCTGCGCAAGCTCCGAAATGCATCCTTTAGAATATCGAGAAGCTGACTTCTCTGCGGATGTGCTTGATACTGACAAGATTGGTATCAACCAAATTAAGGTTACCATGACAGAGTGGACAGGAATATGTTATGGCAAACACTGAACTCATATGGGTTGAGCGCTGGTTTGATACAGACATTAAGGTCTCTTTATAGGGACTCTAGTGCTTGTGTCAGGATCAATGGGGTCTACTCGGACTGGTTTGGCATCCAAAAAGGTGTCAGACAGGGCTGTGTAGCTTTCCCTTGGCTGTTCAACCTATTTATGGACAGGTGTTTGCAAACATTGAAAGATGAAGAATGTGGATTAAGAATGAGCGAGTTAACCGTCAAATACCTTTTGTATGCCGATGATCAAGTCATATTTGCGTCATCGGCGGCTGAGTTGCAAATGATGGTTACATTAATGAACTGGGAATTAAAAGAAAGGGGAATGTAAGTGAACGCAAGTAAGACGAAAGTGATGGTTTTTGAAAGAGAAGAAAGCAAAACGGTACGTGAAATAAGAATAGAAGGAGAGTTAATTGAGCAAGTGGATGAGTTTGTGTATTCGGGATGTATATTTAGCAGGGATGGTAGATATGATAGGGATATAGAACGACGAGTAAATATAGGGAATAGAGTGAATGGGACACTACACTCTATTATGAAGAACCAGAATGTGTCAAAAAAGGCACGTATGGTAATTCCTAATGCTGTGTTAGTCCCTACTTTAATGTATGGTAGTGAACGCTGGGTGTGGCAGAAGAAGCACGAAAGTAGAATAAATGCTGTAGAAATGCGGTCTTTAAGGAATATGCTAGGGTTTAATCTGAATGACAGGGTGAGAAATTGCGTGATAAGAGATAAATGTAGGAAGAATGAATGAGGAAAGAGTGACAAAGCAAATTTATATGGCAGATGTGAACGGCCGAGTCGGGAAGGGACGCCCTAGAAAAAAAATCGACCAAATTGGCGATATTTTGAAAATGGGTCACGTTAGCAGTACCCTTAACCGACGAGCATATATACGTAGATATATGGATGTAAAGGAGGCGAAAGAGGTATGTCAGGATCGTGCCAAATGGAAGTCCGTAGTCTCTGCCTACCCCTCTGGGTGACATGCGTGAGTGTTTATGTTATGTTATATTAAGGCTACCAGTAAGCCTTTTAGTACGTCTCTCAACTGTGTCTAACATTGTAAGGTAGCATTTTGCTGCACCAGCCCATATGTGGCAACAGTACTCCATGCACGACCGGACTTGCGCTTAATATAAGGTAAGAAGCTGCTCCGGCGTTAAGTATCGCCGCACCCTTGCAAAAACTCCATGCGGCTGCTTGGACCCTCGACTCAATGAACCACCTATATCTGAGGTTAGGAGAAATCTCTGCCCCTATAAACTGAAGGCAGTCTAGTAGAAGTGTTCTCCAAAGATACATTCTCTAACGTAGGAGCAAGGGTGAGCGGGCTCCTTTTAGCAGACAGACATACTTGTGTTTCGGAGGCGTTCAATCTGTCAAGATTGACATCGTCCCATTCGCAAAGTATGGAGGTAATTGAAATTGGTCGTTGGTTGGCGGGGTAGGCACGGCTGAACTTTTCAGGTACAGGGTGTACATTGGTTAGTTTTGGGCACTGTTCCAGTTCGAAATAAGAGGTGGAACAAGCGCGTCAACATTGGAAACAACTCAGGTGCAGACTTTCAGAACTACAGCTGGTATAGCATCAGGTCTACTATCTTTGTTCACGTCTAGACTTCGCTAGTTTTTAAGAATCTCTTTGTTGGTGATACGAATCTCTAAAATAGGTGTGACGCAAAGTGTGGCTAGTTTTAAATTTATTAATGACCTGCCGAAGATTCGATTTCGGCCAGTTTTGGCGAAAAAATCTAGTTTCGGCCACAAAATTGCTGTTCGTCGTTCGGCTTACTTCAGGTGACTTCGTGACCGTGTGTGGTTTCGATTTGTGTGGACGCCAGCCGAACTCGAGCGTGATTGTGTTGAGTGAGTTTAAGTGTTATTTCTCGCGTATAAACGATTGGGTAAGATTTCATTTTTGTTTTTACTACTAACGTATTTTAATGGCGTTAATTAGTTACTGGCGAACCGCTCCGGCTTCGCACGAGTGAATTCTGGGTCTTGACATAAGCGCCACCTACTGGATCTAAATG